GAACAGGTATTTGAGATGTAAGCAGTTCGATTACAGTGATGTTACAAATTGGTAAATTACTTAAATTGGTGAAACGCTCCATTTCACAAAAAAACAGACAAAGATGGAGCCAGAAAATAATTGTGTGTCAGTAATGAGCTTCTTTTTTTGTTTTCTAACAACAGTCATCTCAGGACCCCTGAGATTTATCTTGCAATCCACTGAGAGGCCCTGACCCCTAGGATCTGGACCGTGTACTGTATGTTGGATTCACTTAAAATAAACTGAAGGCCTGTGTTCATCATAATAAAGAAAAAGTGCAGTAGTGTGCGGCTCCTTGAAGTGTTCTTGAACAACAATGGAGGTACTGCACAAGATATATGGTTGGATGTTTCCACTAAGCTCAATCCAGCATGTTGAAAATGATCTACAAAATGCTAAAAATAGGTCCTTTAAAAATACCCAAGAATTTAAACAAAGTGAACCCCATATGCGAATAGGAGAGAAACAATATAGGCTGTAATTTGGGGTTCAGTGGTCTGAGTGAACTGAGCTCTCTGTGTATGTCAGCAGCAGGGATTCGACCACTCGAGAGGCCCCAGTTCACAGCGGCGGCTGCGTGCCAGGATGTGGTGCAGGGCCGGCTGAAAGCTGGAGACTTGGTGCTAGGTGACGGCTTAGAGAAAATCCCTCTCCTGAATAGATGGCCTGGATTACACGCAGGGCAGGTCAGCACCAGACAGACAGAGACATGCTGAAGAGATCATCATCAGCGCAGTTCGTCCATCTTTGTGAGGTAATAAGATATTTGAAACACAATGCTGCTTTCAGATTTGGATTTACAGTCCACCTCACCCTGTAATTATCTCGAATCATACTTTCAAAGAGATGCCGAGCTCTGACTTTCACATCTCTTAATCACAGAAAGAAAGATCAAAGCCTCAAAGAGGAACTTTGTGAATTCTCTTTGCATTGATCCACACACAGCTAAATTTAGTTGTACATGAATTATTCATGCAGAAGGAACATGCCCAGGAGGCCCAGAGACTGTTCACTATACATTCAGCATCGCCCCCATTGTCATCTTCCTGGACAGAGGTTTGGCCTCAGATCACTGATGTAATAAACAACCAATTAGGAGAGGCCTCGTGTGTCCTTTAGCACTACAGTATGTCTAGAACACTGCATTGCACCTTAAAATATGTTATACAAAATGTAAATTGTCCTTCTCTCTTCCTCTTTTTTTCTTTCTGTGCAATCATCTCTTAAGAACATCACGTGTATTCCACAGATATGCATGTAAATACAGTCAATTGTATACTGGGCTCTCATCTTTGGGGTGTTTTGGAATAAGCAAATAAGCCTTATCTTTTTTGGTACAGCTCTATGGAAATTCCTTAACATATTATCACTGGTATGCTGGCTTTGAGTCTGTGCAGTAATCTGATAAAGCTGTGTGCAATATTTCCAGCAACAGTATAACATGTAAATACTAAACAAAACAGCCTCCTTGGCCACAAAAAGATAGCTGTCACAGCCAGCTGCGGTTTCGATTCTCAGTGAATATACAGTTTGTTGCAGAGACACAAATACTTTCGTGAGTGTTTGACATTTTTAGCTCTCTCTCATGTTGGTGGCAAATTGCAATTGACAAAGCCTAAGTGATACATTTCACAGTGATGCAAGGCAGTGGGATGAAAACACTGTAAATGAGGCCACTGGCATTGACCTTACCCATTTCCCTTGCTCTGTAATTTATCTGTGTGAGAGGTGTGTAACCCCACAGTCCAGACACTGTGGCACTGAGTGGACGCTCATGTAAGCAGGCCGTCTGATTTATGCAGCCTGTGCTTGGACAGCTCTATGTGCTGTTTGTGTGTGAGAAACAGAGAGAGGAACTGTGTTTGTGTGCATGAACACTTTTGTGTTCAATGGCGAACAATTATATAAATTAGTTAAGAATGTGGACTTAATCAGTTAAAGAGCTTTACAGATCCACAAATACATCCTGTAGCTATGACAGAACAAGACCATTCTCGACCAAAAGGATTTTTCATTATGTATAATAGCTGATTGTTTTGTAGCAATTAACTTTTCTCTTCCAGAGTATGGCTAATAACTGTAGATGATTGAGGACATAACTAAACGGAAATATATATTGTACCAGAACCTTATTTCTACTTTTATGTGACTGTAGAATTCCAACTGAAACAATCTTCTCTGCTTTTTCCACTTTTAAGACAAGAGATATTACAAAAAGTACTGTAACATAAAAAGAAAACCAACTCATCTGAAAAAGTATTTTTGTAACTAAGGTCTTCAGGTGGAAGTCGAGAAAAATTGACAAACAGAATGGCTTTAAAGTATTTTTCCTACACATTAGTTAGTATTATGTCTACGAGCAGATTTAAGCAGTTGTTTGCGTCTGTGTTTTGTTTTTGGTTTAAAGCTACTGAAGAGGAGATTTATTTAAAAAAAATTGAGTTTAAGAGGTGAAAAACCTTTTCAAATGTATTACGCAATGTCATAAGTTTCATCTTAGGAGCACTTTTGCAATTCTGGCTCCTAGTCTTTCAAATTCCTTGGTCCAAATAATATCTGTTCTATCTCTTCTTTTATATTTGAGCCTATTCATGTATTCATTACAAGCAACAACGTATGTCAAATCACCCAGTTTTGCTTAAAGTTTAGATAATCGTCTCTTGATGAGAAAGAGGCAAACAAGTAAACAACCGATTGCATCAATGTATGATTCCAAGCGACCAAATCAGAAACGGAACAGCTTGCCATCCATCTCCTTGTGTGTGTCCACACTCGTAAAGCTTTAATAAATCAGTGGGGCAGTGTGGGAGCACAAGGGGGGGGCTCCGTCAGGATTGAGGATGCCTTACAAAGCAGTCTGTATGACATAAACAGGAGCCGAGGGGTGGAGGGGGCTAAAGAGGGTGGAGTGAAGGATGGAGGAATGGCTGAACACAAAGAAAGAGTGCAGAACAGAAAAGGATTGGCAGGATGGGGCTTGAATGGTAAAACGTGAGGGCAGGGAGATGGAGAGAAAACAACTGGGAGGTGAACCCAGCAGTGATGCAATTATTCAGCTCAGAGCGCAGAATGAACGTGTCTCGTTCAACACTTCTCTAGCGATAGAAAAGATAAAAAAACATGTTGGACACGTGTTGTGAGTGTCATTAAAGAATAATGTAAACAAACACCACCCCTTTTTTTATTACAAATAATTAATTAAACCTATAGAAAACCAGTCTAACAATAAATCAACATCAGCCAATTGGAGGTATGATAGAGGTTTGATGTGTGAAGATGCAAAGTGCATTAGCTTTTTGTATTTCTTATAAAGCAACTGGGATGTTTCAATCACTTATAAAGTCAAAAGCTTCCATTTTGAGATCTACAATTTTGGACTTGAGCTGCAGCAGTTTTTAATTTGGCTGACGTCCCAGTCACTGTCGTCCATCTTTTCGAGCAGAAGTGCACAAAAAAGGATATGCTGGTGTTCGAGGGAATGACTGGGCAGGATATCCAGTTTCCCCGAGGAGTGGGAGAGCTCGCACATTCTGTGTCACTGAGTCAGTGCACTCACAGGGAAGTCAGCGTTCGTCATAGCCCACCTCATGGTCAGACAGAGGCCTGTGAAAATGCCTTTCGGCTTAAATCATAGCAGCAAACAGAAGCAGGCGTTTGCTTGGCATGTCTCACTGTAGTAGCCAGCCAAGCAGGCCAGCAGTGACGTGGGTCAGCCAGGGTTTCTATAATGATTCCTCAAGGAAACCCAATTAATGTGTCTAAATTAAAACAATTGGTGGGAACTAAGTAATGTAAAGGAATAGCCTAACACTGTGAGAAGCAGATGTTCAATGCCGGCAAACAATATCTGTGAAATGCTGAGCTTGGATCTGACATCCTTCATGTGATATACCTTAAATGTAACTCTATCACTGCAATGTCTGCCATCTCTTCATCATACCGTCAGATGAGCGTCTGGTGACATTGACTAACCCTACCCACATGGGAAGCACATTAATGGGAAGTCACACAGTGATGTTTAGGAGTAAAGGTGTCGGTACTGCGTTTATAAAAAAATTCACACAGCCTTTAAAATATTAATAACTGAAAAGAATGCTCCTCGCAGTGTTCCTCAGACGATGGTGACGTCTTCAAGCCTCATGATTTGTCCAACCAACAATGCAACACCAAAAGATACTCAGATATTCAAAGATAAACTGAGAGAATCACTGAATCTTCACATTGAAGAACATTTGTGTTTATAAAAAACAACTTATTCAATCAGCTTATTCAGCTCTCATTTGAACAACTTCATAAACTAAGACATCCTATATTTGAGAGCAATATTGATTATGTGGTGTCTTGATTTAATGTAGCACAACATTAGGACAACTTCTCAGCTTTTAAACGTTACGTCTACATTCATTGAGTCAACCCTTCAAGTTCTCGTGACTGCAGTGTGGGCCATCATTTAGGAATAAGATGAGATCACTTGAATATTCCTGTAATACTCTTACAATAACTTTAAGTGCTTCTGTGATAGTCTTCTTTGTGTACCTATTATCAGCTTAATGTGTACTTCTGTGTAGCTAATGAGTGTGCTCTGTGCAGTAATGATAGAGGCCCAGAAAAAAAAGGTGGCCACAAGCAACATTTTTCAGGGCCTTATTTATTGCTACTCCCATGCAAATATAGTAGAAAGAAATAAGGCCCATCCCAATTTCCAAAATGCCAAGGTGATGTCCTTAAATATCTTTTTTTTAAAGATGAGAAACCAAATACATTCAGTTTAATATGATATAAAACAAGACATTTCCATGTTTAGGGGAATTAAAACAGCATTTTATGACAGCATTTAATATAACCCCAGCCCTTACCCTAACCTGTCAACTATGGCGATGATGATTGCATGTTAAAGTCTGAAACTTTTAAATATTTGAAAGAGAAAGTATCCACAGCACATACACCAACATGAACCTCAGTCTGGTTTTGGTACTCACTTTCTCCTATACTCGTCCCTCTCCCGCTTGACTTTGGCCAACACGTTATACAAAGCCCTCAGTTCTGGTGTAATGGTGTCTATTTGGACCCCAACTCCGTCCGGGTGCGACCACGAAACCCCGGGCCCCCGCACGGTCTCATAGCGCTCCCCTTGCCTCCGGACATGGGTAAAACTCCAGATGGTGCCCGGTAACCGAGATTCGGGACCGTCCGTCTGCACTGCAACTTCCCGGGAGTAAAGGTGTCGGTACTGCGTTTTAAACAGAGCTTGCTGCAGTTGGCTCTCCAGCAGTTTGTTTCTTCTCTCAAGTTCGTGGACTTTGGCAAGGAAGCAGCGGAAACGTAGGTTGAGTGTTTTCAACACATGTATGTTGGAGCCCAGGTCATTTCGCAGGGCGCTGGTCACTGCGCCCGACCCGGCCGGAGGGTTGCACGCCGCCCCGGGCGGAGTGTCGGAGAAATACAGCGAGTTCATGTTTACAAACAACTACACCCGGTAATCCAATTATGGCTCTGTCTGGTTTGTATACAACAACGACAAAATAAATGTTAGTTGTTATCTCTGCATAGCATATTCCTTCACAAGCCCACCCCCCAGGACGAGTTTCACCTTACAATGCAGATGCTAAGAGTGAGGTTGCTGGAGACGGGGTGACCATCACTGTCCCTGCTGGGTGTTTACCCCGAGATACTGACATGGACCCCTGCGTAAATAAGAAACCTAGAAAGTCCCTTCAGAGGCACCGATGGCATTATCTTCTGTAGGAGGTTTGACGCAGATCGAAATAAACACCAGCAACACTTCCCGTCACCCTCATCTCTGTTTCCCTTTGCTTTGTCAGTCGCTGCTGATGCTGAGCTGGTTCATATAGCCAGCGGAAGATGGTCCACCTTCTTCCTTTTGTCATTCCCCGTTAACTATGGCTCTACCCAGTCTCCATGTGCTGCGATGGGCTGGCAGGACGTAGCACCGCAGAGCCCGGCCTCTTCGTGGTGTGCGCGCGGATCATGTTGCAAAGTGCTAAACTAGGCACTATCAGCAGCATCAGCCCCTCCCACCTCCCTCCCTATTTTCTCTCGCGTCTGGCTTAGGGCGAGGATCCCAGACTGGCTCAAGGCATATTTTAAGAGACCAATTAATATACTATGACAATGCATTTTAAATGAATGTAGTTTAAAAGTTATTATTCATTATGTGATATATTTCTACATACAATGTGTATCTTAATGTCATATTTAAATAAGATATAGGGTGTGCAACATAATGACGAGGAATTGATCAATTAGGCTATTTTAGCAAATGTCGGCATTCATTATATTTTATTATTATATAGGCGACTGAACCACTTCCTCATTTAGAGTCATAGACATTTCCTAGCAGGCATGTCATTCTAGTTATTCAAAGTGCTTTAGAAAACATATTTAAGGCAAAGGGACAAAGGAGAGCATTTGCTGCCACCTGTTGACCTTTTAGTTGTAGGCTGTTGTGAAAATGTATAAAAAGAGTTTTACATTTTTGCGAGTTAATGTTTGTATAATTTTTTACTAAAGGTTGAATATGGCAGCTTGTTAGAGATTATATTGTCACTCTTTTATTTATTGTAGATTAACATTCTGAAAGGCAACCACATGATCTCATCCCACACATTATTACCCACCACATGTTTCCGCAATGTACATCAAGCTGTTCCAAGTCAGGCAAGTTGGAGTTATAAATAATAAAAAATAAAAGTTTTATTTTCAGTCAGGCACCATATGGTCAGCTGCTCCGCCAAACAGAAACATTTGGGGTCCTTTCTCATTTCACGTGTGCGTCTGCTACTCTGCATCGTGAGAAGGAACCATGCCGAAGTCAAAGAGGGACAAGAAAAGTGAGTAAATAGCCTTTCAAATTGTGAAATGTATAACAAATTCATAGGATAACGATATCAACTGGTTGTTTGTATCTAGCAGCTGTCCTCTACGGTAGAAAAGTAACTTTAACGTTAGCTAAAATGCTAACTTTAGCTTCTCCACAAGGGGGAATAAGTGTTTGACGTAGATTGGGATGCTGCTTTGACACTTAAACTCATAGATAACTGACTGATTTTAACATCGTCTTCCCCACAGTTTCGTTAACGAAAACAGCCAAGAAAGGACTGCAGTCGAAACAGAAATTAATCGAGGAGGTGAGTTTTGCGTCAACCATGCTATGCTAACAAGCTGCAGACATGTTTAAATTCCATTAGGCTTTACTGGCATGGTATTTGATATGCTTTCAAAGCAAAAGTACGATTTTAAAAGAAATTAACGCATTCATCAACAACAAATGAAGTGAATAACAATGCTACTTTTAATTAAAAACATTAAGGCTTTTAGTACAATAATCAAGTTAGTATTGGTACACGTTTCTGTGACCTCATCACGTCATCATGTCAATAACATAACAGTTTGTTAGTAGGGATAGTAAAAGATATTAGAGCAACAATAAGTCTGGATTAAATGTCTTTATTTTCTTTGTATTATGTCACATCAAACTGAATATCTTTTTCGGCTTTATTTTCTGACATGATAATCAGAATAGTAATTTTAAAGCAGAAAATCATCTGCAGATTAATCAATATTAAAAATAATTGTTGCATAACGGATATTATAGTCTATAGATAACACTTATGTATACTCAGTATTATAAAGGATGTTAATTGTAGGGATAACACGAAGTAACACTTAATTCTCCACCTGTTTGTCCTTTTTAGTTACGGAAATGTGTGGACACGTACAGAAACTTGTTCATATTCTCTGTGGCTAATATGAGGAATAACAAACTGAAAGACATCAGGACAGCGTGGAAACACAGCAGGTAATAAGCCTGATGATTTTTTTTCCTTTTCCATATGAATTAAGCTCGTGTTGTAGGCAAGATGTTTGACTCTCCGCTCTTTTACAGATTCTTCTTCGGCAAAAATAAAGTCATGTCGGTTGCCTTGGGTAAAGGAGAAACAGATGAATACAAAGATAATTTGCACAAGGTAAGAGATCTCTAAGGTGTGCAGTTAATCCAGAAAATGTAAAAATATACTGCATAGAGATGACATTTTTATTATCTCTGTCAATGTGCAGGTCACCAAGTATCTGCGAGGAGAAGTAGGAGTACTATTCACTAACAAAACAAAGGAAGAGGTACAAGAGTAAGTACAGCTTTACTTAATGCAATGTTGTTGCAGTGATTTTCCAAAATATTGCTCATTACTTGACAAAATGATATTCTACATCAACAGGTACTTCAATCATTTCAAAGAGATGGATTATGCACGAGCAGGCAACCGTGCACTGATGGACACGACACTGGACGAGGGACCCCTTGATCAGTTTCCTCACTCAATGGAGCCCCAGTTGAGGCAATTAGGACTTCCCACTGCTCTCAAGAAAGGTCATTATCTGGCGTTATTTACTTTTCCTTTTGACAAAAAATATTTTTCAAAGACCAAAACCAACAATGTAATGGTCACTTTCTCAAGACTATTTGTCTTCCCTACCCTGTCTTTAACACTCCGCCCAAAGGTGCTTAACAACTCAGACGCATAAATGCAACATATATGTATATAGGCCTAATTAAATAGTTTTTCAACTGTTATTTAAAACAATTCACCTCTGGAAATATCCCCGAAACATGTTTGATTTACTGAAGTCAGTGAATGAATAGTTTGGCTTATTGAAAACAATAAATCCAGAGCACAGAAGGATGTGCTTTATCAGGCATTTGCAACACAGTCACTACTTTATAGAAGGGATCAGATATCTTTTGAGGGCACCAGGTGATACCCCCCCTCTTAATTTAGTAATTTATTCAAATCGGTTGAGTCATGATGGTCACATTATTTATAATCTGTTTTTAAAGGCGTGGTGACCCTCCTGAAGGACCATGAAGTCTGTAAGGATGGAGATGTGCTCACTCCTGAGCAGGCTCGTATTCTGGTGAGTTCTCGACTGTTGACTACAGAAAATATTGGCCGTAACGTGTACCATTACCAGATTCTGGCCAATAAACTGCCCTGTGTTTAACTGACTGGATCTTTTTCTGACCATAGAAACTCTTCAACATTGAGATGGCAGAATTCAAGGTGCAGATCAAATGTATGTGGAACTCAGAAACGGGCGAGTTTGAAAACGTTGTAGGTGGGGAAGAGCCTATGGATAATGGAGAGGAAGATGATGACGAAGAGGATGCAGAATAAATCATCTGCAAGGGCAAGAGAAGCGTGTACACTTGCCTTTAACAGCAGAGGGACATTGATGTAAAAACCATTCAGCCTGACTGCGATCTCTGTCCTTTGTCTTTTTTTTTTACCCCAAAACAGAAACTACTGTCCTACATTCACCAGTTCAGCTTCGGACTGAGTTGTTGTTCAGTAAAAACAGATTACCAGAGTTAAAGACTTGATGATCTACCATATGTTATCATGTTGATGTTTCTTGTATTTTGCCAAATCAAATAAGCACATGTCATTTAATGTGCTGAACCAACCGACTTGATGTATTTTATCTGTAGAAAAATACAAAAACATTTTGTTGTGAACAAAGCATTGTTTTCATTTTATTGTAACAGTTTAATTAAGGCAGACTTCAGAAAATGTTATTTTTTTTTCCCTGAAAGAATATTTTTGTTTTTACATTTGTACATTAACAATGAAGTGCTCTAAACATAATGCATTCTGGTCTCCATTTGATTCATTTCTAAGAGAAGGCTCATTTCAAGAACAAGAACAAGTGCAAGGTCTTCACTAGTGGAAAGGAGCTTTAGCTTTTTCTCTTTAAATTTGAGGGCAAAAAAAAGTTTGACTAGGCAGATTTGTCTCTTTAGCGGAAGTAGTTTGGACACTCGTGGGCTACGAGATTCCAGGCGTCATTAAAAGCATTGACCACTCTCTCATCCAGAGGACCCTCCTCTGCAGCTGCCAAGTTTTGCTGAAGTTGATCCATACTTGACATACCAATGATGACTCCATCACCAAGATCCCCCTGGAACAGCAGACAATTACATTTAACATTTTTAAATTGAAAAGGTGTTATATGGTATAACAATCTCGAACTCCTGTGAGCACAAAAACAGCCTTCAGACTAGTGTTGAGATGGGTATACATTTTACCTAATAAATACGTGCACAATATAGGTACCTTAAGTTGGGAGTGATGGTACATCCAGCGCATAGCAGCAGATGTCATGGTGGGTTTCTCTGAGCCGTACACTGTCTCCAAGGCCTCAATAACAACCTTTATTGCGTCAAACTGACTCGGCTTCCAGTATCTGACACAGAAGAGGACAGACACAATTATTTGATCAATTGTAAAGTACATGACAGCAAAAATGAAGAAAACAACCAAAACATGAAACTACTTAAAACAAGTTTCTTATTGGAAAAACCTCAAAAGTAAACAAGGAGTCATTTACCTGTCCCTATATGCTGCAGCCCAGTTGTTACCAAAGAACCGCCCTTCTGGCTGGGAACCCTCTTTGTCTTGGTAATGGTACTTTCCTGTCAGCAGGCCACCTGCAGAGGGGGTATAACGTCAGAGTTCAAAACATAATGATCTCAATCTTCTAAATGTTGTCCTTCACACCAAACAAAAGTGTTTGAAGCCACATTTTGAGAAACTGTTACAGTAAAGATAAAAAAACAACCATGGTAAGGCTGGCCATAGTAACAGTGGTGCTTTGTGTTACATTAAAAGATAACATGCAGGTGATTACCATATTTATCATTAGAGCGGTGTGTTGGTATACTAAAATGTGCTAATTAGCATGATAGATAGAACCTATAGCTGCTCTGACATTTCACTCAAAATCACCAATGACACCCTCATGGTGGCGCTAGACTCAAAATGACGAGATATAATCAAAAAACATTAGAAGGTCATTTAGGCACTATACAGTAAATGTCTGTTTGTTTTTGTATCAATTAAAATGGTAGATGCTAAGATATTTTACAAGATAAGTGTTGACCTGCAGTTGGTGCTAGAGGAAAAGTCAGAGGCTATCTATCCAACAGAAGGAAGATATATTGCACCTGCTAGAGGATTGTATGCGTAGAATCTCATTCCGAAATATCTCAGACATGGCAGCAACTCGGTCTCAACTTGTCTTGTAGTGGCATTGTACATCCCCTGTGAAAAGTTGCAATAGTCCAAGTTAAGCTGCACAAAATGTTGAACAGTGGATCTCTCTGCAACAAACACTACTGCAATTCTGAATTAGTATTGGCACAAAAGTTTCAGCAGGTCTCTTTGGAAACACAGTGAGTTCTAACCTATACTGTATGATCAGGTTTATGTAAAAATAATGTGATTTTGAACACACAGCTTTTCATATGGATGGATCCACAATTGATAAATAATAAGTAGCTTGAATAGTGTAAACATATGCAATTGATGATAGTACAAGGCCGTAAATACCTGATATACTGTGGGAACAATCCAGTTGTTGTGTCTGCAGATGCTTGCTATTTCAGCCACTTCCCAGGAAGCATAGTTTGACAGGCCAAACTCCTTGAACTTTCCCTGTGGGTGATATTTGAACATGAAATCACAGTTTAATAAAATGTTTCTAACAAATAGGTGCAGTATCATGAATGTAACTTATAATGTATACATTGTAGACAAATATGTTTTCATCTTTGATGTGTCACGTTACAAGAAATGTTTCAGCCTCACACAAGTCATAGAAAATGGAGCATCTGGTTAATTTACCTCTTTGTGGAGTTCATTGCAGGCCTTAAGTGTATCCTGGATGGGGTTTTGGTGGTCGGGGGCATGGAGGTAGAAAAGGTCCACACTATTTGTCCTCAGCCTCTGGAGAGATATTTCCAGCTGAGAGCGCACACTCTCCGGCTTCAGAGTCTTCCCATCCCAGGGGTTGGCCTTGGTAGCTATGCTTACTGTCAGATAGAAACACCCAATTTTGTAATTGTCATCTATGAGATGTGTTCAGCAAATGGCAATCAGTGATCTTTGTCCATCAAATCACCATGCATCTATATAACTACCCATATACATATACAAATATACAAATATACAAATACAGCATTATACTTTTATTTCAATAGGTTAATCATTCTTCTATCATATAATCAGAATGTGCTCATTTCATTTTCCACTAATATTATTGTCAAATCATGTCATTGTTATCATATGCAACTTATCCTGCTGTTACAGTATGTATTGTTTTCATTTTTTCTAATTAGTAGTATGGTACAGTAAATTAAGGCCTACTTAGGGCACCAAAAGTAAAAGGACTCTTCAGAACGGCTGTGTTCATCACTTTAATGTTGCAGCTGGTAATGGGTGAGCTATTTTCAGAAATTTGATATGCTTTATTTGATGGGTAGCATGTTTATTTCCTCCCACAGATTAATAAAGTTTTATCTTAACCTATAATATTACATACTTAAGTGCACATTGTATACAATGTTTTAATTTCCAGGACACATCAAATTCTTCCAATGCAAGTGAACCCATCATCAATATTCTCAATAATAAAAGCACATTGGAGCAATGTACAATATAATGCACAGCAGTTCCTTAACAATTTTGGTACCCATAATTCAAAGCTGGTGCCAGGCCAGTCTGCAGGCTTGCAGTGGGGGGGGGGGGGTCAACTACTCAGTTAACGTTAGCATGCAGCGTCGCTATGAATATGAGTGCTCCTGATGTACCTGTTTTAGGAAGATTCATGCCCCCTATGACCGTCTCAGACTTCCCGTCCACATACATGAAGGCTGTGTCCACCAGCACGTGTCCCCTGTCCATGAAAGTCTTCACCATCTCCAGGCTCAGCTCCTCGTCGGCTCGCCCTCCGAAAGCCATAGTTCCCAGTAAGGTAACCGGCCGCTTACTTTGAGACGACGACATGTTTTGACGAGCCACAATCCTAGGCAAATGTTTAAGCACACTGTCTTTATTAATGTGACGCTTACCAAGTGTGCACAGTCTTCTGGTGATTACTACCCACTGCATGCTACAGTACAGCGGCTAGCAATGAGACAAAGTGCAAAGGTCGTTGAAAGCGGTGATAAGGGAGCGTCGTAAAGTTACTTCACAGCTTTAAAACGCAATTACTTTTACTGAAGAGATATTTGGCTTCTTTGCTCAGCTGTAGTTGAGACAGCGCAAAGTTCGTTTTCTGTGCCCGTTTCCTGTTGTTTTTGAGTTAATATTTGCTGAAGTGTACTCGTTGCATCATATGTAGGCTACTGGAATGATCATATTAGATGTAGTTCTGATTTTAACCACTAAGTGTCAGCAAATCACCATCTATTTTTTTCTAAATTACATTATGCTCATGGGTTTCTCCTATATCAATCCAGATATGTACAGTCCATACTTATGATAAACTGGGCTGACAGTAATTAAATGTTTTTTTCAGTGCATTATGACTAAAGAACCACTCATTTGATTATTTATTGTTTATTGAAGGATCCCCAATAGAAGCATGTGGCTGTCTGTTCTGATATATAAATAGTCTACAATACCAACATAAAGCTAATAAAGAAAAGCTAAACAGATACACAAAAGAAATTAAGGATGAACTAGTAACAGACAAATAATTACAATTTAAACTTAAAAACTAAGAGAAAGAACCTGAATATAGCAATTGATACCAAAGCAAGCAGCATAAACAAAAACATGTTGAGGTTCTTAGAAAGACACATACATATAGTGTGGCTTAACCTGTTATTTATCGAGGCATTTATTTGTATGTCCTTTTGAATTTGCACAGAAAAATAACTAAATCAACTGGGTTATTCATGTATTTGGTTCTAGAAATAACCATACAAATAATTATTTTGGTGTTTCAGTTAACATTGTTTCAGTATTGGCATTAACATTAGTATGTCTGATGCTTGATGTAATTCAGACAACATGCTGTGTGTCTCGACCCTTGAAGGGTGCTCGATTAATGGACAGTGTCTTTAGCGGAAGTAGTTTGGACACTCGTGGTCGACTAGGTTCCAGGCGTCATTAAAAGCGGTGACCACTCTCTCATCCAGAGGACCCTCCTCTGCAGCTGCCAAGTTTTGCTGAAGTTGATCTATACTTGACATGCCAATTATGACTCCATCACCAAGATCCCCCTAGAACAGCAGACATACATGTTCAAAGAAAACGTTTTTAGGAGGATGCATTATAATTAAATACACATAAAGTATATGGTATAACATTTTCTAATTACTGTACGCCCTTATACAGCCTTCAGACAATAGTTTTGATGTCAGATATACATATATGCATTCAATATATATGCACAATAGGTACCTTAAGTTGGGAGTGATGGTACATCCAGCGCATAGCAGCAGATGTCATGGTGGGTTTCTCCAAGCTGTACACTGTCTCCAAGGCCTCAATAACCAGATTGATTGCCTCAAACTGACTCTGCTTCCAGTATCTGACACAAAAAAGGACAGACACAATTACTTTGGGCATATCAGTTGGCATTGTACTTGAGTGCAGACAAACATAAATACCTAACATGCAACATCATAAAAAAAAAGTTTTTAAATGCAGATCTTTCACCTGTCCCTGTATGCTGCGGCCCAGATGTCACCAGAGAATCGTCCTTCAGGCAGGGGACCATCTTTGTCTATGTTGTGGTACTTTCCTGTCAGAAGGCCACCTGCAGAAGAGGGGCGGTGTCAGAATTTCAAGTATTTTTGTATTAATCCATCTGCTTGACATACATTTCACAAGATAAGTGAAACTTTGACCTGATGGTGGTGCTAGAGGAAAGATCAGAGGCAATCTAGCCAATATTTTCGAGGTATTTTAGTCTCGACCCAAGTGGTGGGCTGACAAACTGTATTTTTCTCCACAGCAGGAGACACATTAATCACCAATTGTGAGTATCCTTTTAACAGAAACACAAATAAAGTGTACTATAGAAGGAAGATAGATTGCACCTGCTAGAGGATTGTATGCGTAGAACCTCATTCCGTAGTATCTCAGACATGGCAGCAACTCTGTCTCAACTTGTCTTGTAGTGGCATTGTACATCCCCTATGAAAAGTTGTAGGGTATAAGTCTCTCCTTAATGATAAACAAATCTGTAGTTCTTGATTATGCAATCGCGCAATTGTTTTAGCATCTATACCTGATACACTGTGGGAACAATCCAGTTGTTGTGTCTGCAGAGGCTGACAATTTCCGCCACTTCCCAGGAAGCATAGTTTGACAGGCCAAACTCCTTGAACTTTCCCTGTGGGTGATATTTGAACATGAAATCATAGTTTAATAAAATATTCTTTAAAAAATAGGGAACAGTAACTTGGGTGTAATTTATGATAAAAAACAGTGTTGGAAATATGTTGTAAACACTGGTCATGTTACAGGAAAGGTTTCAGCAACACACAAGTCATATAAATCATCCCATTAATTTACCTCTTTGTGGAGTTCATTGCAGGCCTTAAGTGTATCCTGGATGGGGTTTTGACGGTCAGGGATATGGAGGTAAAAAAGGTCCACACAATCAGTCTGCAGCCTCTGGAGGGAGCTTTCCAGCTGAGAGCGCACACTCTCCGGCTTCAGAGTCTTCCCATTCCAGGGGTTGGCCTTGGTAGCTATGCTTACTGTCACACAGAAACACTTGTCATTTACAGCATGTTCTCAGCAAACAGCAAACATAAATCTATGTTCATCAGATCCCCATACATCTATAGAACTACCCATGTCTTTATATGCAAACATATGACTCGTACTTTTATTGCAATACGTTTATCATTCTTGAATATCCTTCTAATATTGTCTTACAGTAGCCTACTGCACTACTCGCAAAACCACAAACATGATAATCATAAAAGTACACGGATAATACATTTATTTGCAGGAAGTATTTACACATGATTTTGACAATATTCTTGACAAATGATCATGCCCCAATGCAATGTCACAAGTAAAGGTCCTGCATTCCAATTTTTTTGTTCAATCATAAAATAAAATGTAGTAAAAAGTACTGAACATGCAGGATCGGCCAGGTCAGAAAATTGTGTATAATATTATTGGATTAATGATGCATAATGCGTTCATCACTTTAAAAAGGAGCTATACTGCTACTTTATATAGCCTACTTTATCTACAGTGCACATTGTTTACTTTCCACAATGGATAAATAACGTTTTATCTTATACAAACCACATCATTATTACTTACTTGTTTATATGTTGTTGTACTAATCAGCAGCAACGATCAAATAAATGTTGTGGAGTTAAAACAAAATCCAATTTCCCTTTGTGATGTAGTTAAACAGAAGTATAAAATAGCATGCAAGTACAAAAGTGTACTTACAGTACAGTAAATTCCCTTAGTTACTATCCACCACTTCTATATTGGTGCATCTCATGTAGCCTACCTGTTTTAGGAAGATTCATGCTCCCTATAAACGTCTCTGCCTTCCCGTCGGCGTACATGATAGCTGTGTCCAGCAGCACGTGCCCCCTGTCCAGGAAAGTCTTCACCATCTCCAGGCTCTGCTCCGCGTCGGCTTTACTACCGAAAGAGTTCGTTCCCAATAAGGAAACCGGTCGCTTACTTTGAGACGAAGACATGTTGCTACGAGCCACAAACCTCTGCAAATGAACGTCTTTAAAAGAGTTCCGCGGCCAAAGTGCACACAGTCTTCTGGTTATTAAAATGGGCATGGTGCTGTAGGATCGGAGCATTTATACACGATCGGCGTCTACCTGTGACGCACTCACACATGCGTGTACCAGCAGGTTTCTCGTCTCCATCAAGAAACTGCAAAACATTAAAGTCAGAAATCAGTGTGCCCTTATCGTGACTTCATGCGAGAGATAATATTATTGTAGCCAGATATTAAAAGCTCATTCAGATCATGAAATCCCTGCAGCATCAGATGGTGCACAACGGAGACCTCATTTTCTTTTTAGATTCAACATATTTTATTTCAAAGCTTTGGAGGGCTTAGACCTTAGCTGATTTTCTTTTTTTTTTGCAATCCAACAAAGATAAATAATGATAATCTTTCACAGTATACTCAAGTTACATGTCCAATGTCAACTTTTTTCCTTGCCTTATCTCTTTTTGTGTATCTGTCATTAGCCCTTGAGTTTTATACAAATATGAAACATTGTTGGGATTATTTAGCCTTGTATTAACCTAAATCCAAATGAACCCATTTCCCTCAACGGTTTTAACTCCTTTACTCCTTTCTTTTCATACATATTTAAGAGAGCTATACATTGTTGCGTAAGCTTTTCAGAATCCTGCATTTGAGCTTTTTTCATTCAAGTAATTTCACATTTGTGCATTTTCAGTTAAGCAACAGGTTTTTATAGTTTCCAGCATTCACATCTATTATCAGCAGGAAATGCGGGCTGATTATGCAGCATCCACACTATACTCCAAATCTTTTATCTTCAGAAACCATTCATTATCAAAATCACTATCAACATTTTCAGCACTTTGCTTGTTTCTACCTTTTATATTTTTATAAAATATTAAGCTAATTTAATACCATGAAGGGAATCTACTCCACTTTGAAGATGCTAATAGGTGACAATACTTTGAAATATTGAACTTGTATTCATCTTTTTGATATACTGTATTTGAAAAGTTTTTATTCATAAAAATGTGTATTCAGAACATTTTCAGACCATTTTATAATGGATGTGTATGGGATGGAATGTTGAGAGCTAGAGTGGAGAGGAAGTATCTTAAACCTGCAGCAATTACCAATTTCTTCCCTTTAGCAAATTAAAATATGAAAATGTGTAGTTGTCGCATCTATCTATGGAATTAAAGTGACATAAGTTGAACAAAACTCCAATCAATTGCTGCATTGAGCTAAGAGTTCACTGAGATCATAAATTCCTGGAGGGAAGCAGACAGTCCTGCTTAACCTGCACTGCCCCTCACAATTTCTCTACTTTAACACAAAATCTGGGTCAACACGTCCAGTAGCTTTTTTTGTCTCGGTTTTGGAGAGTATGAAACATTATATATCAGTTTGTTCAGAGAATCGCCCTGCAGCTCACACTGTGAAACAGGTTTTGTAAGCTTACAAAACCACTGAGGAGCCTCAGTAAAAAAGTGATACCGGGGGGGGAGTATGGAGCTAATTTCCTGCCATAACTCCACAAACAAACTAAACAGGTTTTACAAATGCCTTATGATTCACTAACAAACACAATGTGGTTTGCAAATACAAAACACCATCTACAAACTAATGAATTTAGTTTTGCAAAGAAAAAACGTATCTATCAAACAAACACATAACATTATTCTAATAAATCATGTTTCAGAGACAAATTCAGCTTAGGTTTTACAAGTACACAACTTTTTTTTACAAGTGCACAAATTTGTTTTACAACTACAACACTTTGTTTTACAACTACAAAACTTTTTTTTACAAGTACACACATTTGTTTTACAACTACAACACTTTGTTTTACAACTACAAAACTTTTTTTTACAAGTACAAAACTTTTTCTTCTCACGGCGGAATATTACTGCCAAAAGTCACGTGACTGGAATATTACTGCCAAAAGTCACGTGACTGAGACTTTTGGCAGTAATATTCCGCCGTGGCTGGCTCATACACAGTCACACATGCTCACTCACACATGCTACACGGCAGCAGGGGGCGCTACTGAGTCCATTGGGAAGACGGGAGGTTGAGCAGAGCATGGAACAGCTCTTGCCAGTCTGATGACAGGTGTTATAGTGATAATATTATAAACAAGGTGAATTTAGCGATCACAACGAAAACAGCCAAGACACATATTGAGCCCAGAAAATAAATGTTATTAGGGGCTGTAAATATAATAAGCCTTTGTCTAAAATGGACAACATTGTAACTAAAGAGATTTAAACTATATATACAGCCAGGGGACGTTCGGGACGAATCCCGATGGGCCGGTACTGAAGTGGGCCGGTCGGATAAGTCACTGCTCACCCCCCCTTTCCCCCCGTCGACAATTTCCTCGCGGTATTTACTTGCGGCACCACCGAGGTGGGCCGCTTACTTGCGGTACCGAGGTGGGCCGGCGGTACCGAAGTGGGCCGGTCGAGAGTCCCGGGCTGATTTGTTGTCCCAGTCCGCCCCTGTATACAGCGATTCTGCACTCGGTCAATCAGCTGCTTTTCATTTTTATTCCTGCTATATTCAATGAGTGATACAAATATTTTTTACCACAAGTTCTTAATAAAACTGACACTGTTGGACTTGGTACTAGTTGACTGCAACCAGAAATAAAATGAAGTACTTTACTGTGTACTTTGTGAGTAATCCTCTGTCAGAGTCCCCTCCATAGTACATAATGCATGTTTTTTGCTATCTTTGATGAATGATAAAAATAAAATGTTACCATTAGTTCTTAATGAAATTGATACGGTTTGACTTTGTATTAGTAAGCCTACTACTAACAATACATTGAAGTACTTTTACTGTGTATTTTTTGAGAAATACTCTGTCAAAGTCCCCTCCTGTGAACAAAATCAAGCCACTTCTGCTAAGTTTGATGAGGGAATTCTTTTTTGTTGCCATTAGTTCTTCGTGAGATTGATCCTGTTGGACTCAGTACTACTGAAACTACCCCCACAAGTACTATGAAGTACTTATTGTGTACTTTTCCAGTAATCCTCTGTCAATGTCCCCTCCTGAGTACAAGAATGCATGTTTTTCTTTTAATAAGCGTTAAAAAACATTTCTTCCTGAGACTGATATTGTTGGACAGAGTATTTTAAGAGGATGGTAGACATGATATCAGCAATACTTCCAGTCAGTACTCCGGCAGCAGCATTTTCACACCTTGGAAAGTCTTTAGAGTCTGGCCTGGAATGGATAGCTGGTCACAAATATCCTTCAGCAAAGTAACACACTCTGTCACATGGTTGCCCTCTTATGATGCTGCTGTCTTTTAATATATAATTATTCCTCTGCCGCTAGTTCGTTGCTCGCAAATTCTTCAGTCTCATCAGCCTCATCCTTCCATCAGTCCCAGTTAACGCCTCCAGCCCACTTCCAGTATCTGACTCCATATGATATTGTCCTGATGCTGTAAGGGTGATGCCCCATGATCACAAAATGACCCCTCTAGAGTGCCAAGGACCTCATATTATGTCTGTCATTAATGTTACATCACCCATTAAATCACCCAAAAAATATTTTTTTCCCTCATCAAACTTAGAAGAAGTGGCTTGATTTTGTTCTCAGGAGGGGACTTTGACAGAGTATTTCTCAAAAAAATACACAGTAAAAGTACTTCAATGTATTGTTAGTAGTAGGCTTACTAATACAAAGTCAAACCGTATCAATTTCATTAAGAACTAATGGTAACATTTTATTTTTGGGTCATTCCAGAATTGGAGGACATTTCATGTCCCCCATATAAAAAAATCTAATAATCCATGCCCAAAAAGCTAAGACATGCACTTGTTGTGTTAAATATACTTGTCTTGAGACAAGATGCATATAAAGTTGTAGAAAAAGTGGTTTCAAAATATTATTTAAAATATCAAATAGCTCTCGAACACCCCCTAAAATTGCCCTTTTCTCTTGTCCCAGCTTCTTGGTGACCAACTTGCATGTCAACTATAACATTTAAAATAGGGTTTTTATTTACTTTTTTGGTATTATTCTATTGATATATGTGTCTTGTAATGGTAAAATCAATTTGTTAAATCATAAACACATTTTAAATAACAGTAATTTTGCACAGAAGGTGTGTCCCTCAACATGCGCGCAACCCTGTTACCGAAACCTTTTTAGCTTGGCAGAGGAAGTGAAAAAACTGTTTGTTGCATGACACAGTGGAAAGGACATCAGCAAGCCATGTGCTACTACCATGGGTAGACCAAAACTAAGTCCTCTCTTTTATTTGTAATATATTTCCAATCTTGTCACTCTTGAAGGAGTGTGGCACTCATACAAACGCAACCCTGTTACTCAAATTATGAGACAAAAACAAATTAATTTCAAATGTATCTTTCTTTTGTTAAATATATATAAATATAAATATAATATAAAGTGTGTCCATTCCTTGACAATAGCATTACATTGTGCAGCTAGCATTAATTCCTGAGGTAAAAGCTAAAATTAGCATTGATTTTCAACCCTGTTACTTGCAACCCTGTTACTATAATTAGAGTAACAGGGTTAATTCTTCATTGGAAAATATACATTTGATGCCTTAGCTGGGCAAATCACTTTTTTTTATGGTTTATTATCTGTTTTTCCTAAATACATAACAAAAAATAATCAAATGAAAGGTTCATTTTTCAAAAATGTTGGTGTCTAAATTGTCCTCCAATTCTGGAATGACCCTTTTATCATTCATCAAAGATAGCAAAAAACATGCATTATGTACTATGGAGGGGACTCTGACAGAGGATTACTCACAAAGTACACAGTAAAGTACTTCCTTTTATTTCTGGTAGCAGTCAACTAGTACCGAGTCCAACAGTATCAGTTTTATTCAGAACGTATGGTAAAAAATATTTGTATCACTCATTGAATATAGCAGGAAAGAAAATGAAGAGCAGCTGATTGACCGAGTGCAGAATCGCTGTATAGTTTAAATCTCCTTAGTTACAATGTTGTCTATTTTAGACAAAGGCTTATTATATTTACAGCCCTAAGAACATTCATTTTCTGGGCTCAATATGTGTCTTGGCTGTTTTCGTTGTGATCGCTAAATT